TCTCTCTTCGTCGTCATCATGGCAAAACGCTCACGAGCAGAATCTGCGTCGCCCACTCCAGAAGCCAACGACGACGCCCCCAGCCCATCGGCCGCCGTCAAATATGTCCACGTCGACGATTCTGTCGAGGCTCCCGCCGTCATTAGCTGCTCTCTTCCGGCGCATCCCCTGCTCAGCTTCGCCTCTTATGCGGACTATGACGTCCACTACCAAAAGTACCACGTGAACCGCTGCTCCGCCTGCCGCGTAAACTTTCCCTCGGACCAATTTCTCAACCTGCATTTCGACGAGTATCACGATCCAATCAAGCAAGCTTCTCGGGAACGGGGAGACAAGATTGTGAGTTGAAGCTTGCCCCACAAAAAGACGCACCGCTGACTGAGCAGTTTGCATGCTTTTTCGAAGGGTGTGACGTTATGTGCAAGACCCCCAAGATGCGGCGAGAGCACATGGTCGCCAAACACGCTTATCCAAAGAACTACAACTTTACCGTTCTCAAGTATGGCATCGATGGACTCAATTCCATGCTTATCGAGAACAACCCGTCCAGATCCTCTCGTCCACATCGCGTAAAGGAGCAAAAGCCACCCAAACGGCATGCGGAGGTAGCGCCTGTCCCTAAGCGAATCGTCTTTGATGAAGATGGCAAGGCGCCTCAAGATTCGACAATGACGTCCAAAGCCGATCCCGAGCCAATGGATGTCGGTGCCGACAACTCGGAGGCCATCCTTGACGTGCCCAACAACAAAAACGCGAATGACCTCAAAACGCCTTCCAAACTGCCAACTTCACAGCATCAACCCGAGTCAAATGCGATGGATGTAGTTGAAAGTGAGGAGAGGGGTGGCGCTTCATCCGCGGCCAGCGCAGCCAACACTTCCAAGTCGACTCCTAATTGCTCTAATCCGGATGAAACCATGGAGGATGTAACAAAATCTGTGGCAGCCCTCAGGTTCATCCCCCCGAGTGTTCGCTTTGGTCGCACCGGTCGTGGAAGAGGTAGAGGTGGCTTCGCCAAGTCTTGAGGGCTGTATCTGAGCAATCGGTCACGGAAAAAACAATCTCTGGCCGAACACTGGACTCATCGATGTAGAAGATTTGATATGAATGTTTCACCAAGTCCGGTCATAAGAGCAACGCTACTCCACCTGTGAAGGCATAATCAGCATCACTTCGCAAGAAAGATGAGGGCTCGCATACGGGTGTTAGAAGATCCCGTGGCAATCGAGTGACTCAGAAGCCACCCGGAGAACGATGCGCATGAGATTCTCATCATGCGCAATTTCTAAAGGGCTGTGCTTGTCGCCCCATTCAGGTGGCTCGTAGATTCCTCCGTAGAATTCTTCGAACTCACGGTGCGCTCCTTCCATTGTCTTCACGAAATTGACTCTAAGTGGAATCAAAGATTGCCGGACGTCGGCGGCGTTGTAAGTCGCTCTCAAAAAGAGAACCCAATTTTTGATGTTGTCAGACCACCACCAACTTGGCCCGTCCGGAGCGTGGTCGCATGCGGACATGGCACAAAGGAACGCGCAAAGCCTTGCGTCGTGTATGTTGCAGATAATTGGAAAAAGATCATTCCGCAACAATTCGCGGACTATCTCCACGTTGTTGTTCAAGACTGCAATTTCAATCGGGTACCATGCAAGCAGACTTCTCTCGTTAGGGTCGGCGCCATTTTGTAACAGCGATCGGACAAGCGAGAGGTCGCCAGCCGCGCAAGCAGCATGCAGAGGCGTCCCGAAGAATTCGCTCTTCATGTTTGATTGGAGCAGTATCAAGAGATGATCTTTGACGTATTGCTCTTTCTTCAGGTAGATGGCGGCGATTGCGAGATGAAACTTCACATCTTTACATCGCTCTTCTGGCAGTTGATAAAAGGGGAAGTAGACGTCGCAGATTTGATGGAAAGTCTCGCCTGCCTGCTGATGAGCGATGTTGCAGAGCTGATAAGCGAGTTCGTAGCGGGTATATTTTGATTCGTTTCTCGGAGGCAACCACTCGTCCAGACACAGCTTCAGGAACGATGCGAAAGTGTGGCGGGATTTTTGGTCTTCCGTTTCAGACAGGTGGCATAGGAAGCGAGAAACAAAGCGTGGGGACATCAGCTCCCAGAGACTGTAAGGTGCATCGCGCGGGCGCAGAATCTCGTGCATGCGGATCGCATCTAGCACTTCCCAACTGAAGGTTTCTACCAGCGGTATCCGTCAGGAGTCTATCGCAAGAGGGCAAATCCAGGGCACATTACTAGGGATCAATCTACAACGGAGCGCATTGTAGAGGCCATTGTCCGGTTCCAACACAATCTCTTCGACAATGTAGCGGACTATCTCAGTGGGGAGGTCAGTGAATGACATTCGTGTCGGTGGAGGCCAAGATTCCGGATATATCTAGCGTGAGTGGTGTTGATGATTGGGTGGGTGGAAAGGCTCGTTGGTGTCGTCCGGCGAAGCCGATCTGGGGCCGGCTGACTCATCCCGGGTTCCTGGTGCAGATCTTCCGCGAGCATGTGTTCCTGGATTTCTTTTACGCAATCACTACCACGTCTTTCTTGGGTCACCTAACCGTCATGATGTCACCTCTCCCGCCTTCTTCGACAAACTTTACTCCGCTAACAGCCTGTATCTGGCACGATCGAGCAGGCTGGCGATGCTCTGGATCCGCTACGCCTCAAGAGTCGGAACGAAAACAGTCGAAACTGCTCCAACAGGCCAGTCGCCTTCTCGAGCGAGAAGTCATGACAGATGGAGATCTCTCTTGGCTTGACACCGCCAGGTGGCCAGGGCAAGACCCTTAAGAACCCGGTCAGCTCTCTGCCCGGGCTTTTTCTCGCCTTTCTTGGGTCGTCCCTCGGTCATCCAAGCAGCACTCGTCCTGCCTGGGACAACACCTAAGACGAGCCACAATGATACTGGAACCCCTCCGCAATCCTCTACCAGACACGGCTTCGGAGCGTCATCACGCCAAAGACGCGATGCCGAGGGAGGGCGAGGCTGAAAAATACGACTCTGATGCAAGTGATTTCGAGAAGCAAGCGCCGCTCACATGGGATGATGATCCCCGAAATCCGTACGTTGATTTCCACAGCCATTTGAACCCTGCTCGACTCGCTCACGCCTCCAAAGTTACAATTGGCCACATTCGAAGAAATGGCGCGTGACCGTCCTGTCTTGCTTCATCACATTCATCGTCGGCATCAACGGGACTGCCATGACCGCGGCGGCGGACGACATCAATTCCCAATTTGGCCTGAGCGATGAACATTTCCCCAACTCTTTTTGGCCTGTCTTTTCTTGGACGCTGGCCGCCGGGATTGTGCCCTTGGCTGTCCTGCCACTTATGGAGACATTTGGAGTTCGAAAAGCCTATCTGCTGGTTTACCTGCTTTTCGTGGTGTTCATTGTTCCTCAAGCGCGGGCCCAGAACTTTGCGACTCTCATCGTCACCCGCGTAATCACTGGCGGATGCGCTGGAATTTTGGAAAATGTGACCAGCGGCATATGCGGCGACCTCTGGAGCGACGCGATTGAAAGGAGTCTGCCCATTAACTTGTATATCTTCAGTCTGCTGGCCGGCACCACAATCGGGCCTGTCATCGGAGGAGCTATTATGACGACACTCGACTGGCGCTGGGTTTTCTACGTCCAGATCATCCTTTATGTTTCGATATTTCCTTTTGTTTTCTTTTTGCTCCCCGAAACTCGCAGAGAGATTTTGGAACATTCTCAAGATTATCAGCATTCTCGAGATGAGGAGCGTTCTCAAGATGAGCAAAAAGCTTTCTCTAACCGCACTGCCGGTCATGTCAGCCCAACGGAACTGTTCAAGACCGCCATTGCCCGCCCTCTCCGCATGCTCACCACCGAGCCGCTGGTTCTATGTGCCACTTTGTGGTCATCCTTCTGCTTTGGCAACGCTCTCATCTTCACGCAAAGCATTCCTCTGGTCTATCGCAGCCTGTACGATTTTTCCGCTTCAGGCACTGGTCTTGTGCAAGCTGCTCTCGTCATCGGCATCGCCATCGGGTTGCTCATTTCGCCGCTCCAGGATCGCCTCTACGCTTCGAGTGGTGACAAGACCCGCCCAGACGCCCAGCAGCCCGAGGCCCGCCTGTATCTCGCCATTCCTGCGTCCTTCTTGGGCCTTGCTGGTGGTCTCTTTCTCTACGCCTTCACGACTTCTGAATCGCACCCACAGCCCTGGATCGCGCCGACCATTGGCATCGCACTCGTTGGTGTTGGCATTCAGACCGTCATGACTGCCGCTTCGCATTATGTCGAGGATGCCTACCCAACTTATGCCGCCTCTGCGATTGCGGGAGTCGCAGCAGGCGAGAATATTGTCGGTGCTTGTCTCCCGCTGGCGTCGACTGCGCTGTATACGCAGAGCGGGCTGGGCTTTGTTGGCGGAAGCGCAGTTTTGGCTGGAATCGGGTGTGGTGTCAGTTTTGTGCCGGTCGCCTTTGTGGTTTTTGGGCCATGGATCAGATCGAAAAGTCGGTTGGCAGCCACTTCGGGGCGTCAGCCTGGCGTTGGAATGGCCTGAATACATGTATCCTGGGGAAGGAACCGACACGAGAACTAAATTGACCGGCTCGATTAATGGAAGCGCTCCGGTCGTTGCTACCTTTAAGAGCACACAAATCTCACGACCCACGAACGCTTCCTTCATCCACGACAACCTACTCGTACCACCGTTCCGAAGTCTGGCGGGTGTACCTAGCTAGCTGCGCGACACAGGCTCAATTCCGAGAGGCGGGCTGAGCGCAACGGCGACGGCCACGCCTGCCCAAGTGGGAAAGGAGTTACGCAAGTAGGATATCGATGTTGCGCACGATGCCAACGTTGCGACTTGGAACGGTAAATGGCCGCCTAAGCCCCGCAAAGCGACCAAGAAGCAGAAAAAGCGAACGGACATCCGAGGGCATGGGCGGGGTGCCTTTACGATATAATGTGTCGCAACCGCTACTGCACCATACTGCACAATACCCAAACGTTTATGGATTGGTGGCGTAGTGGTAACGCATGCTGTGGTTAAACATCACATCCACAGTAAGTCCTAGGTTCAAGTCCTGGCTGATCTGACCTGTACTCCTTTTGCTCTTTTCTTTTGCCTTTCCGTTTTGCCTGCTGCTGCTGCTGCTGCTGCTGCTAGTGGTGGCGTCGAGTGGTAGCGAGGGTCTGGGCGAACCATGGCGGGTGTCGAGGGGGGTTGAGAGGGGAGGAGGGGTCGGGGGTTCAAAAGGGCGTCAGGGGATCACAACTGGCTTCACTGGAGTCGAACAGACCGACAAGACTGAACTGAATACGGTTTAGGCTATTGAGCCTGGCGACATTTGAATATCCAAAAGTTATATCGAGAATGGGAAATGTGATGGCTACTGCTCGTGGTACTTCTTGAACACATCGGCGAAGTGGAAGAAACTGGCCTTATAGTACCGCTCTTGTGTCGTGTAGTTGACGTACTGCGCATTGTCGGGTCAGCCAATACCTCCTGAAAAAAGGGGCACTCACCTGCAACCCAAACTTGACACTATTCCCACTCGTCCACTCCAGGTTATCAATCAGACTCCACGCCAACGCGCCAACGACATTCGTGCCCTCAGCAATCGCGATCAAAAGGCCCTCCATAAAGCCCTTGAAATACGCCGACCGCTGCTGGTCAAGCAGAATGTCGGGAAGCAGCGTCTTCTGCGCCTCAAACGGCTCTGCGAAGCCAAACTCGGTGACCAAGATGCCGCCACGCGGCTTCCATGTGTCCTGGATGTAGCGCATCAGCGCGGGGACCCACTCGGTCGCCTTGTGCAGCCAGGGCACGAGCGGGTCGGCCGCCGGGCCCAGTGCCCATCCGCCGCTCGCCGCCGGGTACGCCCACGTCTCGTTGACGCACTTGGGGAACAGCGGGTGCGACGAGTTGGCGACGCAGGCGTCGGTGCCCGTGTCCGGCGCCGAGTAGAAATGCGACGTGTACGCGTCGTGGGCGAAGAGGTCGGCGCTGCCGTTCAGCGCTGCCTTTTGCTCGGCCGTCAGCTCCGGCAGGAACTTGGAGACGTACGATTTGACCGAGGTGGGATAGTCGCCGTCCAGGAAGATGGGTTTGGCCCATAGGCCCTCATTCCAGTCCCATGCCCGCTGCACCGCTTCCAAGTCGGCCGTGGAGTTGGTGAGGGGGATTTTGTAGCCACCGTTGAGTTTGAGCGTGATTTGCGCCGTGAGGTTTAGCGACTTGGCGAGATGGTACGCCTGGCTGTGGGCAATGAGGAGGTTTTGGCCGCAGTAGTATGGCTGTTGCTGCTTGGGGATGTTTGAGGCTTTGAAGTATCCTTCCGGTAGCGGATAAAAGCCGCAGACCACGGTAGGCTCATTGAACGTGATGAAGTGATCGACCTTGTCGCCGAAGCGGGTGAAAATCGTGCGGGCGTATTCAAGAAAGTCGGGGATGAACTTGGGAGACAGCAGACCCCCGTACGAGTTTTGCAACGCTAGAGGCAAATCCCAGTGGAATAGAGTAATCGCAGGCTCGACTCCGTACTCCAAACATGTGTCAATCACATCTTGGTAGTGCGCGAGGCCCTGTTCATTCACTTGGCCAGATCCAAAAGGAAAGATGCGAGCCCAAGAAATAGAAAAGGAGTAGACCTTGACTCCCATGGCGGCGATTCGTGCGATGTCTGTCGAATGTCAGAGGCGGTCGGGAGGGCTAAGAAGCGAGGCTTGATTCAAAAGTCGCAGCACACTCGAGAGTTTGGAGTTGTATTATCGTATGCTCCACCTATGCGGACCCTTCTTGAAGTTGCGGTATTCCACGATTACTTCTGAAGCCCATAGACTCTCGAATTTCCTCGCCGTCTTATTCTCGTGGGTGACGGCTTGATGCTGATATCAGATCACTCACCTTGCTTATACAAATAGTACTGATTGTTTGCAATGTCGCCGGTCTCGTTTGTCGTGATGTACCCGGGTACGCGGTGGGACAAAACATCCCAGATGGAGGGGCCTTTGCCTTCATCTTTCGCTGCGCCTTCAACCTGGTATGCAGCGCTCGACACACCGAATTTGAAGTCTTTGGGAAAGGCCCAAGATTCGTTTTTCGCCTGCAAAGGGGCCTCGTGACCAGTTGGAAACGGCGGGTAGTAAAGACCGGGAGGCGGGATGAGAGATTCCGTCGGGACCGGAGTTGCCTCTACGGTCGTATTTATGGATGCTTGCTCGATCGGGCCGACGTAAAGGCTCCAATAGTCTTTGGATTGTACAAGAGTTAGCTACTTCGGATCTTCCCGACAAAATCCCTGCTTGGCAAGCGGGCTCTCGGAACCCTTCCCTTTAGTACAAAGGGGCAGGGGAAGTGATTGGTCGATTTCTGTGCTGTAGAATGTTTGGTTCTATAGTGAAAACTAGTGGAAAAACGACTGACCTTCAAGCGAAAGAGTGACAGATGCTGTGAAATTCTGTCCTACAGCAGTACCGACGACCGAATAGGCAGCCAGGGCCGCACAGAAGCCAGGGGACGACCTCATCTTGACAAGCAGAAGCTGGGGGAAGTTCCGTCGCCGCAGCCTGCCTGCAAAAATCGCATGCGCCAGAGTCGTTCTTATAGTCTTGGAGTCTTCGTACCAAAGATACACCGACAAATCCACCACGGCTCTGAGCTCGTGATGAGCCCCGTCGGGTTACGGCCGTCAGCGTTAGGTACCCCGGGTTGCGGGGACAATGGATGTGGAGCCGTATTTGGTCAGCCATCTTTTCAACTCCGCAATCTGCATCAGTTGGTACCGGCGCGGATTCGCGGGCACGCGGGGTAAAATGTGACCGGACAGCTTCCTAAAGAGGTTGGATAGCTCGAATAGTTTCGATAACACGTTCTGTCCATCATCTTGGCATGCCAGGAACTTTGGACACTGCTCTAAGGACAAGGCTTGACATAAAGTTATATGCTTAGTGATTTGGCGATTTTCAGTGTTGCCGTAAAGCTCGTACAGATTTGGGGTCGAAGAGGCGGCGGAAATCGCCGAGTTCTGAATAATGATGTCAGTGGTGTTTTCTTTCGCTTACGCTTGGTTGGAAAATGACTAGTGGCTTACACGGAATTTCCGAGCAAGTCGTGAAATAGACCGACGTACCACTCTGAGGTTCGTTCAAGTGCCGGCTAGTTGAACCGAACAAAATTCAGGTGCTTGGCATAAAATGTTGGCATACTCAACACCGAATGTACGAGTACCGGGGGAATCCTCATGGACTTGAAGGATTCGAGCTTTGTCAAGAAGTCATGAATTGCCATCTGGTACTCTGCAGTCGTGATCATTGTCGAAAATCCTACTTGATCTTCATGCTTTCAAGATAGAAATTCGCGACATCTGTACCCTTTTCGCCATGAGATTTGAGCCTCTCAGCGATGTCACCGAGACCATGGACCTCCTGAATGCCTTTCGTTCCTGAAGACACCAGAGTCAAGGCTGACATGGAGCAACTTTCGGAAGCCCTTTCTTGTATAGCTTGCCAGCGCATTGTCTAATATCCGTCAGCATTCAACGAGATGGACGACAAAATCAAACATAACCCACTTTTAGCTCATCCACGAAGGACCTCACGTCGTCTGCTTCGCCCTCGACATAGACAGAGCCTGGGTATCCTGGCCGCGAGAAACCGGAGAGGCCAGATTCTCTTGACATTTGTACAATGGCACGTCGCTTACTCGTAGCGAGAAGATGATGCATCCACAAAACTACTCTCAGACCTTGCGGCTCATGCGTGTTTGGACCGTCATCGGATTGCTGCGAGGCGGATTTGAGAGCATCATTGCTCGCAACCTTGACGTCTTCCAATGCCAGTCTCAAATCTCCAATGATCAGGTCCACGCATTCAATTCCAAGCTCTTGTTTTTGAACGATGTCTCTCAAGGCAGAACGGAGATGCCTCCTCTCATCGTTTCGGATTGCCTCGCCAAAAGAGAGAAAGACTTGCGGGAGGGATGCCTCAGGATAAGCTGTAGGCAGGACGAAAGAGAGCGTGTGAGATTCGTCGACTTGGATTTCAAACTCGATATCTTCGTCGGGCGATTGTGTGTCTCTGACCAAGGAAAACTCTTCGGGGTACATGCTCTCAAGCAGGGCGATTTCATTGTGTTGTCGTTCGCAGTTTTCCGAGGCATCCAAAATGTGGCCATCTTGCGCATGCGATGCCATCGCACCACGGGCTATAATTGGAATTCACAGAAGATGCCAGTTGATCGCAGGAAGTGTAGCGGGATGAGGTCGAAAGTGGGTTTGGCGCGGATGATGACGTGGTGGGTAGGAGCTTTCCCGAATACGTCGGAAACGCGTCTACCCCAATACACGACGCGTTCCTGACAACCAACGCCACGCAACTCATCCTCTTGTTGTGACCATGCTCAACAACAAGCCCTTCAAATCTCCTTTGCTTTCGCGAAAACCTCCATCAGACGCGCTCGAACGTTCCCAGCCCTTAGAATCGACCGGTCCGCCCCAGAAGAAACGACGCGTCTCCGAAAACAGCCACGACCCGTCGCACGCCCAACCAAGGCCGTCGCAGACCTCGAGTACCTTTCGAAAGCCCCTGCTCTCAATCGTGAACCCTGCGGCCAAAGAACCAAATACGCCCTCAAGCGATGACGGAAACGAGGCATACTACATGGTGCTCTGGAGGAAGTTTACTACCAAAAAGAACAAGACCTGGGACGGAGACGGCGTGCTCTCTGTCAGAAATGGCTATGCGTTCCTTCAGGATATAGACGGCCGTGAAATGGGCAAGACAAACTGCAGCATGCCGCTGCTTCCTGGCTCGACGATGTCGGTTGGAGGCAAGGAGATTGAAGTCGATTCTATCGTTTCGAAGAAGGACTACCTTTCCGGCAAGCCATTTCTGAACGCTAGGCCTGCTCCGATAATCAAACCATCAGAGCCCCAAGAACGGAATGTTGAGACAAAGCCGCTCCTCAGTCTGAAAGCTCGCACCAAACAGGAAAAGGTGGAAGCCAAACAGGTCGACAACGTGAACCTGGCCGCTGTGAGAAGCAGCCAGGCTACAAATGGAAAATTCAAGAATCCTTTGTTGGACAAGACCGGCA